ATCAGCTTCTGATGGCAAGGATATTGAAACCTTCACCTAGACATGATTGTTGCAGCTTCAGATCTGCTTGCTTGGTCCCTTAGCTTTGACTTCTGGCGCTTTGCTTTCCCAAAGCTGTCAAGCTGCCAGAATGCCCTTTCGCTTCAAGTGAAGTGTATATGTATATAGTACATCAAGTATACGCACAGTTGTGCAGCTAAGCACACAGAAAATACTCGACCACTGCAGCAACGCTGCCAACTTTTTCCATCTTTACGCTTCTCTTTTTTTCCTCGGCTGTTTTTTTTTTTTTTTTGTATTTTTTTCGAGCGCTCGCTCATTCAACTTGAAGGTGCAAAAATATTTTTGTGTTTTCCTCGACTATTGTTGTTGCTGTAGTTGTTGGCTCGAGCTGGCGCATAATTATTCACTTTTTTCACTCATTTTGCGGCGTGTTGGTAATTTGCATATTTAGACAATGGCCAGCCAGCCAGCCAGTCGGTCGGTCGGCCCTTTTTTCCCTCTATCTGTCTATCTATCCATCTATCTGTTTGCCAGGTATTTCGTTTGTGGGGGGTTTTTTTTTTGTTAGCTCCAACGAGGTGCCCTGTTAAGCAATCTTCGGCGGCTGTTGTTGTTGCCTTTGTTGGACTTAAAATGATTTAATTGAAATTTTATTTAACAAAGCCGTTGCCGGCTGCTGCTGCTGCTGTTGCTGTCACATGCCTCCTTTTTATTTTTGGGCGACGCTGGGGAGGTGGCTGCTCTGCCACCCTTGGGCGAAATGATAATACTTTTAAGCATTTAAGTGGATTAGGATTTTGAGGTGAACGAGATAGAGGGCCAGAGAGAGTGAGAGTTTTCACTTTCCTTCTTTTTTCCTGCCATGGTTTTTTGTACGTAACGAACGAAAAGTTGTCAATTGAAAAGTTTACACGTGTGCCGATCAGATTCGGTGCTTTAGACGAGATTACACACACACACACCCACACATATTTATGCGTGTGTGTAGTCTCTGTGGATTTTAAGAACTTGAAATGCATTTAATGGTTAAAGCAAAAAGCTTACTCTGACAAGTCTTGGGTGTAAAGTTTGCATACATGTGTATAGTATAGATGTATCTTATCTACATATCTACAGACTAAGTATTTGCGTATGTATTTAATTTGCAGGCGGATGTGTAATTCTGTAAAAGTAACATAAAGTAACACAGTTTTAAATTCGATTAAGCTCTTAAGTAATTGAACGAATATGTTGTGCAACTACATTTCAGAATGTCTCTCCAATTCAATTACGTTTTGATTAAAACAATTTAAGCATTACAGATATAATGTTCAACTCAACTTTAATTGAATTAAATGCATATCTGTGTTGTGGCAAGTACAAAAATACTGAGCTTTTATTAATTTACAGAAGGAAAGATGTGAAAAACACAGTGATGCTTTCTTTGATGCATTCTCGTCTCCAATGCGCATCCTTAATGTTTAGAAGCTTTATTAATAGGCGAACTTTTTTTTCATTCTATTTAAATTCAATAATAAAGGAAAAGGTTTGTTGTATTGCTTTTAAAATGAAAACTTACATTCAATTGCTGATGTTTGATGAAACAACTTTAGGGCAAGTTCTCGTCTAATATAAACGGTGGAAATCTAAGCACTAAAAAGCATACCTAATGGTTTAATTTAAACAAAAATATGACAAAGTATGCTTGAATAGGGAGCGCGTTGTCACCAGAAATGTGTTCACTTATTTAAGATAAAATCAATGAAAAGTAGAAAAGTATCCCGCATGAATTATTTTCAAGCATATCGAACAAATCCATAATCTAGTTATTAGAGATCACATTTATCAAATAAAGAGAATATTATTCATCTATAAAAGTCATCTCATCTGGTTACTAAACATAGCGCCCGATAGACTGTTCAAACATTCCCAAATTTCTTTGTAACCAGATCTAACAGGCTTGTTGCTATTGATTAAGCAATCAGCAATGTCCGAATAAAAACCATTTGAATTTTAAAATGAAACATAAACGATGTGAGGCAGCATCGTCAAATAAACTGGCACATTAAAATCCACACATAGCTCTCTAATCCATCAAGCCGTAAAGTCTTCGAATAAGAGACTATGTATTTTTAAAGCCGTTTTTCCATGTAGCTTGCTATTTGTCTGACATTTGTATCTATTGCCACACAACTCTTTTTCCGAAAGTGCGGACAAAACCCACACACTTCAAATAAATAGCAATTGCCGCAGAACTATAAAGCGTCTTCGCCATTGCTGGAACAGTAAAATAAACTACACGAACCAAAGTGTTCTGCCGCAGCTGCTTCTGTTGGCCACAAATAAAGCCAAAAGCAGGCCGGGCCATATATTCCAGCAGTTTATGGGCGAGTGATGATGTGAGCTCTGAAAGGTATACAGGACAACAGGACAAAAAAGCAACAAAAACAACATCGAAATGAGACAGACACACAGAACTACAATTAATGTTGCGTCCGCACTTGATCTTTCATGGCGGACAATGCTCGTTGAGAGCCGTGCATAATGTATTATCAACTGGGCAGCATCTACGCTAAACGACCGAAGGGTCACTAAATTTAGCCGTCCACCCAGCCAGCGCCTCAGCTCTACAGTGGCTAGCAAGTATATATAATCAGGGAAGATAAAATTGGAATTTTGTTTGACTTCAGAATATCAAAAAATAAGACAACAACTGAAATAAATTTAACAATGTGGTTGATTTTCAAGGACCTGTTTAAGATTCTTTACATTACATTCAAAGGCTTCCAAAACAAAGTTATAAGTTTTATTTATTTATGTATATAATGCTAGCTTAAAATTAAAATCTTAAAACGAGCAGAAGAGGGCTTTCAGCTAACTTTTAAAGAAAAAAGTAGGAACACATATGCATGAGTAAATGTTTGTGGCTTCTAAATATTTTAATATGAGTTAAGAGTTGTGTATTGATGGGCTTTTAATTAAGGTGATGGGATTAATGTTTGGGAGAACAGATAAGCTATGAAATCTATAAGTTATAAGCAACAAATGCTTAAATACGTCAAATTTAATCAAATTTCATTTATAAATAATGTTTACCAGAAATATGATGAATGCCATATGTTGAATGCTTTATATGTAGTTAATACAGTTAGTCGTTAGAGAAATAACTCTATTCTAAAGAACATCTAAAGAGTATATTGTTAAGAATATCTGTTCTATACAGCAATGATTTGTGGTTGAAAGTTGTTACTTTTACTGGCCATATAGGTGAGGCGTTAATTGTTTATTTCACATTCATTCAATGTACCAACTCTCTTTATTTTCTTTGTGATACGGAAATATTAATAAATATTGATAAAATATAAAGAATGCCAAACAGTGCTAGTGCCATAATTATTTGCCTCTTATATCATCCTAAAATGCAATTTAAGTTGCTAAAAGATTGCCTTTCTTGGTGTATTTATTGGTGTACTATTTAGGATTGCAACTGAAAGGGTATTTGCTTATTTTTCTCCATACAACCACAAATTATTTAGGAGTTATTTATTTATTTATTTACAAAAATTCTTATAAATTACTGCACTCGTCACAAAACTGTTTAGATACGTGTATATTGAGCTTTTATCTAAAAGTGGAAAATATGAATTAAAAAAATATTTACAACGATTAGAAATTTAAATGTGAAGTGCAGTTTTTAAACAAAATTACTTTATAAGCAATACTGAGTTACATATCGAGTGTTTGGAAGAAAGATGTGAAATTTTGTAAACATATAGATTTCGTATTTAATCGTTTTTAGAGACTTGTTGACAACTTCAACAACTTCCTCTTTCCAAACAGAGCAGCGGATATGTTTTGTTTAGTTTTTAAAACCGATTCTAGACTTCGGACCAGCTACAATGTAACAGGATTTAAAATTACATTCAAAATCCGATTCAAGCCAGTGGGATTAAAAGCAACAATTCTTTACAAACAAAGACCGAGCAGAACTAAGACCTGTTCGTTTTAATTGTTGTCGTCAGACAACTTAATGTGTTTACCTTTTCTAATACGGTGGATAGTGAAAGTGTCACGTTGGAGAATTTATTATACCCGAGTTGCGTTCCAATGTGCACAGTGGGTTGGCTTAAGTTATTGGGCTGCTTGGGTGCTGGCCGGGTTTGTTGTTTTTATGAGCTTTAAAAGCAACGAGCTGGACCACTTAAGTGTCTGTGTGTGTGTGTGTGGCTGGCCAAGGCGCCGCCCTGAGGCCTAAGTAGCCGAATAGCCTCTGCTGCTGTTGTTGTTGTTGCTGCTGCTGCTGCTGCTGCTGCGGAGCTTCTGAGTCTGTCACAATGTCCGCATTGTGGCAAGCATAATTACAATGCTTGTGGCCACTGTTGCAACGTGCTGTTGCAATTTGGAAGCTGCTGCCGCTATTTTAATGCGTTTTTCTAGAAACTGGAAAAGCTTTTAGCAATTGCTGGCCGTCGCGAATAACAGAACTCTATGCAAATGCAACAAGCTGTGCCTTGTTTGGCGGCACATCCGCTTTGCCCAAAAGGGAGTCGCCAGGTTGTCGCACATAACTGTTAACATTGGGGGTTCAATAAACCTATTGATGAGTCAGTTCCCCTGGCTGGGGAACAACACAACAGAACTCAACTCATTTACTATGCACGACCCGTCCAGCCAGACACGCACACGTTGACGAGCGACGCGCCAGAATTTCAATGCTGGGGCCTGGGTCTGGCTCTGGGTTTGGGCTTCTGGTCGCGGTTTCTGCTCCACGCCGAGTCTTTGGCAATGCGTGTCATGGCTGGAATATAGGTTGCCATATTTCAACAGCCATAACACAGCCAAAAGCACATCAACACATGCGAGTATTGGCCAGATATGATGAAGACAAGGCGGCCTTTTGTTTGCCTGCCTTTCGCGTCTTGTTCTTCTACTTCTACTTCTGATGGGCTGTACAGATAGTGTTGTTATTTGTTGATGTATTTTGCACTAATATGCTAACCATCGTCTTCTCCTTATAGCATTACGCCGGGCTTTCCCGATACGCGCACTTGTCTGCTCCACCAAAAGCTGCAAATGTTGAACGTCTGTGTGGATCGTCGCGTGCAACGTGAGGCGGCGAGTAAACGCAAACAACAACAACAACAGCAACAACAACAAACACAGCGTACAGTAACAACAAACATCACGGACGATGAGCAGGAAGATGATGATGAAGATGATGGCGAGTTCTATGACTGCGACGAGCCCACATCCGCTTCTAGTTCGCCCATCAAAGCCGTGCTTAGCATTAGGCCAGAGGGTCGTCTGCAACGCCTGAGCGAGGAACGACTGCTGGACGAGCCCGAAGAATTCCTCTACATACCCGTCACACAGGAGCCAGTGCCGAAAACCGAAGACCAGCTGCAAGATGATGCTGAGATCATGTTGAAATTGGGTCCAGGCTCGGGTCTAACCACGCAAATGATGTGCACCTCGCTGCTCTCGGATATGGAGGCATTCAAGGCGGCCAATCCTCGTGGCCAAATGGAGGACTTCATACGCTGGTACAGTCCCAAAGACTGGGAGCAGGTCGAAGATGGTAAGTTGAAGAAGGACTCGATTAGACAACCAACTCACAGCTGTTAATGCAAATAAAAAACTTCTCCACATTCTCAGTACTGATACTTGAAATCTTCAATTATATGTTAATTGCAGAATCGGGGAAAATATCGCATCAGTTGAGCGTGCGTATGACCACTCCGGGCAACACTTGGCAAACCGTGTGGCAACAGGCCCAACCCGTGCCCGTGGCACGCCAAAAGCGTCTCTTCGACGACACCAACGAGGCACTGAAGGTTCTGCAGTTTCTGGAAACGCGCAACATGAGCGAGATTTATGCCTTGACAGTCATTCCATTGCTACACTCAGCCATTCTGAAAATAATTGTGAGTAGCCAACTATCGGGAAACTAAACTCGACTACAACGATTGATTTATTCCCGCACAGGACCTCTTCAACAACGCTCAGGTGGAGGATGTGTTCAGCGCACAAATCGAGCAATGGCTGAGCGATTTGTGTCGCCTCTCACGCGCACATGGCAGCGATGAGATGCCCCTCATTAAGGGGGCATTGGATGACTTGGCCGAGCTGGAGCGTCGCTTCTATCAGTTCAGGTGTTTCGAGCGCCTCTCGGGCTATCCTAAACGCAGCACTCAGGCCCAGGTGAAGCGGCAGTTTGAGGAGATACTGAAGAACGACAATTGTTGCACGATTGTCAATAAGAAATTGAGCGCTGCCGGCGATGTCTTGGGCAGTAGTGGCGGAAGTCTGTACGACATATTGAATCCGAAGCAGGACAAAGATATGTCTGAGCGACTGATAACAAAGGACTACGTAATACGTTTGGATGGTGATGCCAAAACAGCGGAGAAGGGTGAATATCTCGGACCACAATTCATGCGCGCCATCGTCACGGGCGAAAAATTAAGACTGTGTGGTGCGTTTACCGAGAGCACAACATTTATTTAGGGATATAGGATTGAAATCCAAAATAAATCATTAGTGGAACTCTCAAAGAAATTGTACTATATCCTCAATTTATTTATAACAACACAAATGTGCTTTTTATATAAACTATATTTAATTTATATTGTAATAGTTTCCTAAAGCTCTATTGGCGTACTCATCTATTTGGAAGGTATATGGCTTAACAAATTCTTTAGATTATTGTGCACATTTTTTATAATTGTTATTATTTTTAAAACTGTTTTGTTTTATTGGTGAATATGGTGTGTTTTAAATGAAAAAAACTATTGTTACTTCTAATATATGCTTTTATACGAACTCCATACATTTTATAGAATATCAAATATATATGTAGAGACTTAAAATGAATATGAGTCTGCTTGTTTGTTTTGTTTTTCTAGATTTTTTACAGTTTGTGGAAATGTTCATTGGGGCTTCAAAATGCCTTAAAATGGGTTGAAAGTGCTTGAAGATCACAAGTCTGCTTGATCAGTTGACAGGACGAATCGATATGAGTATCCAGATGCTCCTAATTCCGAGAAGGGACAAATGTATGTTAACTCCTTTCTTGTTCTGCTTCGTAAAGTTATTAAGAACTAGTCTTTTGCAATCGAAAATGAGTTTCTAGATGGTTCTGAGATGAATCTTCAAAAGTACTTAAGCGTCTTAATTTTTAGCACATATATGGAATTGGTGATTCAAATTCATATTCTCTTCTAAATGGTTATGGCATTAAACTAATTAAAACATGCCACTTAGCCCCGAAATGCCTGCCCATTACAACACAATTTAGACAATTTAAATTGCACAATTTCAGAGCAGAATTGCAGAAGCAGTTCCGAATTGCAGATTTATTTTGCAATTTTAAGTCCATTTCAATCAAATGAAGCAAACAATACCCGTAGTGTTCGACAGAAAGTTGCCAAAAGTATGAATAGTTTAAGTTTACTTTCAAAAAACTTTGATATCCAATGATGTGTAAATATTTGTCTGGTTCTGTATTGGCTTCTGGAATCTAGAAAGTGTGAAATATTTTATAGGAAGACCCGCATAACTAGAATTTACCCGAGACCGACTTTAAGATATGCCCAAACGAATTGCTTTTGGAGGAAAGACAAGCTCTGAGGGTGGCAGGCGCTCTGGTAGTCGTCGCATCTACTTAAATTCAACTACAAACTTCAGGCATGGCACCACGGAATTGCCTACATTTCGAGTGGTAAACAAGCCAGCCAGCCCTAAACACCCCCGGCTGCAGCCCCAGAAGTGGCGCAGAGTTGTTGACTACACGTGGTAAGCAAATTGTGTGGGGCATGTTTAACTGAAATTATTTTAAGCGCACTCGGCGCGCCAGAACTCTTTGCCTCTTAGTCCCGCTGCTGGCTGGGTGGTTGTACTCGTAGTTTGTTGGCAACATAAAACATTTCCACTGCCTTTTTCTATGCGCTTTCTCGCTCTCGTAATGCTTCCTCACTAAATTACCTTCGGGCAATAATTGTTTTGTGTACTGCGGAGCGTTCGCTGCCGTGCCTGAGTGTTGGGTGGGGAGCTGGGGGGACGATGGGGGCCGACGAATGCAACCAAGTGCCGAGGCGTGGTCTGCGGTTAGTAATGCCCTCATCTATTCCCCCCACACACACACTATGTAACTACATGTGTACTAAGTCGTAAGTGTAAAAATAATTTGTATTTTTGGCAATTTCTTGCTTCCTCCATTTTCAGGCAGCTGCATCTGCCATTCATATGAATGAATGAATGAATGAGTGCATATGAATGGCCATCCATTCATGCCATTAAGCAAATCAAAAATAAATTGTGCATGAGGAAAGCTTATGCTCTAAAAATACAAATACTTTTATATACTATATATGATATGAAATAATATTGCAGAAAATTAATTAAATTCTTGCATGCCATTTGCCATGAAAAGTGGCGTGGAAGCGACGTGCTACCAATTGATTTGCTATACCTAGAGAGTTTGGGTCGCGGCTTAGATGGCGGGGACTCTGGCGGGGAGGAGCACGGCCATGTGGTCAGTCTGTCGTTGGCTGTGTGTGTTGGTTGGTTACAATCTTGCTGATGCAGTTGAATTTTAATGAAAGCTTTTTTCCCACACAAAATTGAATTATAGCACACACTCACATCCATGCACACTCACATCAATACACACATACAAAATATGTGTGCAGAGCAAGCCGAGGCATATCCCTGAAGGTCCCAAAAAAGGAGCTCTCAACTGTTCATTTTCGTTAAATTTCTGGGTACTGCAATGGTATGTTATTAAATATTGTAGCAGTTAACTTGTTTTTTAAATAAACACAAAAAATTTATAAACTATAAATTAAATTCAAAACATTTTCAAAACTAATCAAACATTATTTATAAGTTTCTTTATTTTCAACAAAAAGCAAATTTAAAAACAAAAACAAATAATGATTAGTTGTTATATATATTAAATGATTTAAGAATTCGATAACTAAATGCTCGACCTGAAGGACTTTAGTGTTAGCTACAAAAGGTTTTCATGGTCTATATTTCACAGAACTGAATGAGTTAATGTAAATATCAGCTTACAACAAATAAATTGGTAAAACCAAACCGCTCTCTTTACGTTTTTTTCTGTACATTTTCGGCTCCCCCCCCCCCCCCCCCACCCTTTATTCCAGTTAGAAACAGCTTTTTATAGCCTGTACCCAAAGGGTGAAATATAATTTAATTAATATAAATTTAAAATTAATTAATTTTTTTTCATTTTTTCCTTTTTGTTGGGAGGGGTACTGTGCACTGATTGTAAAAATTTAGGTATTCGATGAAAAATCGATGAATTTTTGTTAGGGATAACAATTGATGCTTTCGTAAAGAAAAGATAAATTGTTATATATATATTTGTAAATAATGTAAATAAATTCAAAATTAACTTATAATCAAAAATACAACAATGTAACCGATAGTCTTAAGAAACATATTGTATCGATACGTTTAAGAAAAACGATAAATAATAAAAGATGGGACACTTCATTTAGAGTGGCCGGAGAGTAAAGAACATAGTCGGTTATTAATGTTTTTACATATTAAATGATCTAAGAATTAAATACCTCTACCTGAAGGCTGTAGTACCTACAAAACGTTTTCATGGTCCATAGTCTATATTTTACAGATTCTAGATATATCAATTTCCAAAATCCTATCGATAATCAAAGGAGACAGAAAGCTTAATGAAAAGGTGGTCACCCTGACAGCATCTAGCTCTTCTGTTGCTAGGACCCTCAATGCTTGACGTGTTTCGGAAGAAACATTCATTTGAATTACTAACAGCCGGCACCAGTTCTGAGAACTGCGGGGCTTTGTGTATGCGCTTCGTTTTTGCCAGCTACTGAGATTTTCAATTTCTATTGAACTATGCTGCAAATTGAAAAGTGGCGGGCGAGCCAAAAGAATGAGGCAGCAATGAAAGAAAGTGGAAAAATCGCAAGCGCGTGTGGCGTGTGTGTGTGTGTGTGGGGGGGGGGGGGGGGGGGGGAGTTTTATAATGTGTTGGAGGTACGCGAACATCCTCCAGCATCGGCTGCAGCGGCTTACACATGAATTATTCAGCGGAAAAATTGCAATGATAAGCAGTCTTCGTCATCTGCAACGTCCCTCAGTTGCCATAATTGAGTGAAATAGAGCACCCGGCTGCTTGCTACTCGCATCTTGCTGACCCGCGGCCGAGCGCCAAGCAGCGGATATGCAATGAAAAATGCAAAGAGGCAAGACTACTATACTTGCCATTTTTCATTTTTATTTCTTATTTTTAATGTTTGCCTTCAATGAGAAGCGGGCGGAGCGAACAAAATAAAAATTAGACTAAGACTGTGGGAATTGTGGCAATACTCCACCGAAATTACATAAAAAAGTTCACAAATTTGCATATTCATCGCAAAGTAAAAATAAACATCCACACAAACAGAAAGAAGAAACGAAACTCTGCCAAAGATTATACGTTTCACAACTCAATAATTAAAAGCAGTCAGACAAAGCGTCGACGACCGGTCACCGGTAAGCAGCTCTAAAAAAGCCAAAGCTGCATAAAAAAAGTAGCAACAACAACAACAAAACAAAAGTACAACAACAGCGACAAATTGTGCAAACTAAACATTTTCATTCGCCGCAGAAAAAACAGCAGAAGCAACAAAAGTGTGTTAAGTGCTTCACAATTTCCGAATGTCACTCTTTTGGGCGCCTGCCAGCAACAACAGTACATGCGCATAGATGGAGTGGAAGATGAGGAGTTGGCAGACACACCTGCCAGTAGGCGTGGCCGGCTTAACTGAGCCAAAGCCGGATCGGGGCTGTCAGCCGGCAACTGAACTGAACAACTGAATGCGTCTTAAGTAGCTTTAAAGACGAATTTCTTGCGCACAAGCAAAGCGATGACTACGAATGGCTAGAAAATATTTGAGGTGTGCCACCGCACCACCGCACCACCACAACCACCTCATCATCATCACAGCACAAGGTTATGATGTCTAAATAAATGTGGGACCTCATTTAATGCAGATTCATGTGGGATCACAATCAGCACTTGAGAAATTATTGCCAACATGTACAGATGTGCTTCAACATTATGCCAATGGCTTAGTCGGCTACGTAACGGTGTGTGTGCGAGTGTATACACACACACACACACACATACATATGTCTTTATGTATTGTCTATGCATGCATAATTAGCCTTGTGTGGCACGTGGCACGTGGCGTATGCGTATTATTTCATTCGTTGAGTGCGGATTTAAGTTTATTGGGATTTGTTTGTATTTACAATACTTCACAATGGATTGCACAATAATTAGCGGCTAATCCACTCTTGATGGGCGGTGTGGCTCTTTATACTCGAATAAGCGGCAATGGGGGTCAATAAATTGCATGTGTGATATAATATTTATTTATGTGTTTAAGTCACAAAGCTAAATACTTAAATACCACATAATGAGCTTGAAACAGCACGCTGTGAGCCATCAAATTGAGCCTGTTGATCGATTTCAGAATGTTTCCATAACACAATTTTCATTCTGCGCCTAATAACTATTTGTACAAAATGGGTTTTGTTATAAATAAATTCAAGCAAACTACAATTCCAAATAACAACAAACATGTCGTTTCAATTAGCAATCGCATCTGAATTGAAACCAAGGCATTAAAATGAGAAGCTCTGATTTTTTTTACGTAGACGAAAATTGTGAGAACTATGAAAAGCGGATGGTCGGATTTTTGAGACAACAAATCAAAAAAAATGATTACAAAAAATAATATTATTATCCCCTAACCAATA